TTTATATTATACTATATATTGTATTTTTATATAGTTAATAATTTTAAATAATTTTTTAATATTAATTAATTATTACAATAATCATTACAATATATTTAATTTTTGGTTATATTTTTAAAAAAATTTTTGTTACATTATTTTTATATTATTTTAATTATTAAGACTATTTATATAATTGCACATGCTTCTAGAAAAAATCTTCTATATTAGATATTAATATTTATATTATATTCTTTTTTATTTTTTCATAATTTTTTGTATTAAAATTTTTTATTTATTTATTTTTATTTTTATATATAGAAAAAATAGACTTTTTATTTGTATAAACAAATCTACATAACAAATATAAATTTAATTTTCATTTTATAAATTATAAATAATACAAAATATTTATAATAAATGTAAATTAGATTTTTTTATTTTTTAGAAGTATCCATAATGAAGGTTTGAACAGTAAGTCCTCTACTCTGCTCTGAACAATAATTGAAATGAGTTAGCCAATTAAATAGCATGGTGAATAATTATTGCAACACAAACCTTCCAAATTTGAAATTTATATCTTAAAACTAATATGTATAATAAAAAATCTAAAATCATTAATCACAAAATTAAATAATATCAAGAATAGTAGCATTTGAGATACAATTAAGAAAATTAGAGATTAAATAATAAATTGTTTGAGTAGAAGAACAAAAAGTCCAATATGATAAAAAGATAGTTTAATTACATTGGTAACAGAGAGAAGAATAAGAGAAGTTACATTTATAAAGAATATGAGGAACAGTAGTTTATTCAAGAAAATTTTAACATAGAAGGTTTTTAGAATAGTGAAGAGAAGTGAAAGCTATAAGCAAAGTTAGAAACCTTTTGATTATTATTGATATAAGCTAAATAACTTCCTAGTTGATATTAGAAGCAATAGTAGACTATTGTTAAAAATAATGTTGAGATATCTAAAATGTTATAATATAGACTTGACAGATAATATAAATAGAAAGTTAAATAGAAATTTTAATAGGAAATTAGTTAATAAATAGAATATAGGTATAGTTATAAGAGTTATTAATTAAAAATATTAAAAAAAATAGTATTTGGTAACTACAAGTAAGTTGTTCATCAAGATTATTAAATAAGTTATTTTGGTATGCAATAACTTTGTAAAAAATAAACTTAATGTTATATGAATTAATAAAGTTGATAAGAGTTTGCCAAATAGAAAACTATGAAATATGAATATAAAAAAGTTTGAATACTAATAAGTAGATAATGTAGTATTTGAAGATTATAGTTTGTGAGTCAATAATAATATAAATAGAACAGTTTCTAAGAACAGTTATAATTATTAAGAGAATAATAAAAATTTCAGTTTTAACAAAACATGACTAGAATTTAATTTGTATTTGAAATAAGTAAATAGTTACAAAATTATTAACTTGAATTCAACCTATAGTTATAGAATATTAAGAGGTACCAAGCTTGATAACAGAACTATTAATATAAAATAAAATAGTAGTTAGATTGTAATTGGAATTAGCAATAGACTATAAACTATCAGTAAGTTTGTTAGATTAAAAGATGCAAGGTAATTGTTATAGATTAATTATTATTAAAGAAGATGATGAAATATGTAAAGGATATTGAATAACTATTTAGTATACAATATTAAGAAATTTGATATATAGATTAAGAGTTTTATCAAAATTAATATAATAGAGTAGTTTTGTAACTAGGTTTGTAGGAATGAAGATAGTATATTTGTTAACAATTGTATTGGAATTAAGTTGATATCCAGAATATATTATAATAGTAAAAAAAGGAGTAGGATATAGATTTGAAAACTGGGACTAATATAAACAGTATCAATAAATAATAAGAATAAGTTCTGTAGGGGTATTATATCTTCTAGTCTTACTAATAATTATTTGATCATTAAGAACAGTAAATAACCAGAATTTGATATTAGAAATAAAATAATTAGTGATATAAAAAAAATAGTTTGTTTGAAATAGATTAAAGTGATTATATAAAGTATATTAGTGAGAATACTTTATAGTAATGTCTTCAAGAATGGTAAACCATTGAGATATAATATCTTTAAAGAGTTTATTTAGTTTAAAAGAAATATATTATCAATATAATAAATATAAATTATCATATATAATAAATTGATCAAGAAAGAGTAATTTGTAATATCTAAATTGTTTTTTGAAAATGGAATATTTGAGATAAGATGAAAAGAAGAATTCAAGAGAGATAACTTCATCATTTAGAATATATAAAATATTATAAGTTAGGTTAATAGAAAATATTCAACTAATATGTTTAATAAACTGAATAATTTTAAATTTTGTATTTTATGATTAGGACTATTAATAATTATATTAAAATATAAAAAGATATTGGTAAAAGACTAAAAATTATTTTATAATTATTGAATTTAAATATGAATTGATGTATCTAATAGGTCAGAATTATTAAGTTGTTTAAAAAGATTAGAAATATGATATTGTAATTGGATGCCTCTGATATGTTTGATGTTGTAAATTTGAGGATGTAAAGGATACTAGAGGATATTGTACAATATAGTTTAACTTTAAGTTTAACAAGACCAATATGCTAAGTAAAGATTTTATTGCATATAAGCTGACTAATTACAATATTTTGAAAATAATATTCAAAAATACAGTTTATTTATTATAACTAATAATTTATAGTTCATACCTCTATATTTTGAAGGTGATAGACTTTTGATTTAAATGAAATTAGTAATATATATATTTGAATTGTATTTTAAATAATACTACAATGTTAATACATCCAAAATTAAAGTTTTTGTCCAATATGCTTGGTCTGTTATACTTTTCAATCAATAGATCTTGACAAAAATATAAAAAAGGTTTCAAACACAGGACAAGAATTATAATTAATGAAATTAGAGTAATATTTTGATTTAAAAGTTTTAATATATAATATATAAGGCCATGCAAACTTAATCAATTGGTTCTCATAACCCGGCCGGGTCGAAATTTACAAAACTCTAAAAAAAATTTTCAAGTATACTTACTATCCGGATGAGTTTTTTAAAAAAGTCTATAAAAAATTTTATATGTTTTTTATATATAAAATTTTTTGAAAATAAAATTAAAAGCCAGGTTGCCGGGTCATTTTAAAACTTTTATGTTATGAGAACCAATTTATTAAGTTTATATGGCCTAAGTCATATAATGATTGTGACCAATAGAAAGCCCAATGACAGGTTTTCCCTTGATGACATTCAAATTTGATCAACACTTATCGCTTGCGTCTAACAGGAGGAACCGTCGATGTTACACGACTGACCCGGTATGCAACATATAAAAAAATTATTTTACAATACCACTAGTACATGTTATGATTATAATCCCACTTCATTTTATTATAATAAAAATGGTATGGGATTTTAATTATAACATGTACTAGTGGTATTGTAAAATAATTTTTTTATATGTTGCACACCGGGTCAGTCGTGTAACATCGATGGTTCCTCCTGTTCTTGCATCTCTTATTGGAAAGCCCGATAGCCCGATACTTACGAGTTTTTCCTGCACATTATCAAATCATTATTGTCATTTAGCAAAGATATATATATACATTACTACATAGTCAATCATTACTGAAATCAAAACCTTATCGAATCAGCCAAACAATCTTCGGTCAATTTTTTTACCAGATGTTCCAAAAGTAATGAAAACAGCTGTAATTTTGCATGATCTTATCAGCAAATTTTAATTGATTTATAATTAATGATATAAGTCATACACTCTTAATATACAATATATCATTTAATCTTGTTATTTATAAAAATCTTAAAAAATTAAATTATTAATATCTGAATATTGTCAATTAATCCTAAAACTTTCAACCTCAGAAATGATTTCTCCCGTATCAATAAGCTTAGAAATATACATCATATTATCATGTATTTGTGAGGTAATTGGCAATTCCTTGATTGATTCATCAGCTTCTAAAAATTGATGTTTGATTTCTTCATCTGAGTCAATGCATTGTTCATCAAATTTAACATCACTATTATTGGTGACTATAGGTTTTTTCCATTCTTTAAGCTTATTAAAAATCCTACCGGCCTTAGTTCTTTTTTTCATATTATTATCGTTGGCGACTACAATGTTTTTCCAATTTTCAAGTTTATTAATAATCTCAACAGCTGTAGGTCTTTTTTTCACATCTGAGTTAACACATTGTTTGGCTAATTTAACATAACATTTTGGTATCCTTATAATAAATTCAGGTCGTAATCCATGACAAATCATCGCTGCTAATTCAGCATCAAAATTGTAATCATCGTAAGGTCTTTGGCCAGTTAATATTTCTATCATAATAATTCCAAAACTGTAAATATCAGCAGCTTGAGTGAACTTTTCACCTTTCAAGACCTCAGGTGCTAAATATGGCAAAACTCCATAAATATTGCCATCTTGTTTTTCATCAACCGATATTGATGAACCTAAATCGATATAAGCTTCATATCGTTCTTTTAATAAAATATTACCAGGATGTAAATCTCGATGTATAAAGTTTTTAGAATGAATATCTAATAAATCTTGAATTATATCGCATAATATTTTTAGTTTAATTTTCCACTCTGATTTAAATATATCTTTAAGATTTTCACGTAATGATCCAAACTTTGCGTAACTTATAACTAAAATAAAATCTCCTGTATTCTTATCCATTGATATGCCAATATATTTCCTAAATTCGTGATATGCCTTTAACTAAAAAATAATCAAATTATACTTAACTAATATAATAATAAACAAAATGGGGATTTCAGAATTAAACTTATTTCAAAATAAGTGGGAGTTTAAAAGATTCTACTTCTATTTTTAAAATCCGACTTAGGGAATTAAATAGGCATGCACGTTAAAAAATTAGATTAATATCTACTGGTAAACGATTATGTAAACATGTAAGTAAGAATCACATATTTTGACGCCAAATCATGAATTCTGAAACCCCCTATATAAATATACACGTAAAAATAAAATACCTCATTTAAAAAAACTTTTTTATTTTTATGTGAATCTTTTATTATCTTGATTGCAACTTCATCCAATTCATAAGACGTTTTATACACTACAGAAAATCCTCCTTTACCTACTTCTTCAATATTTCTAAAATTATCGTATTTTATCCATCGGAAAAATTTTGTATGAATAATACAGTTATGTTCAGCAATAGCTGATTTTAAATACCATTCAAAAGCCAAATCTTTGTTTTTTTCTACTCCAATCCCAAACTGATAACACCAACCAACTTGATGCATTCCACAATATTCTCCGTATTCGGCACTTTTTAAATAATATTCAAAGGCCATTTGATCATCCTTTACAACTCCATCTCCATTTTGGTAACAAGCTCCGACATTATACATCCCAATAGCACACCCCATTTCTGCAGATTTTTGAAAATAAATGAATGCCTTACATCTATCCTTTTTAATTCCATTTCCATTAAGATAACAATATCCAGCTAGAGTTAATCCTGTGGGGCACCCCATATCTGCAGATTTCTGATAATAAATGAATGCCTCATGCATATTCTCCTTAACTCCGATTCCACAAAAATAGCAATCACCAACTTCATACATTCCGGCAGCGTCCCCCATCTCTGCAGATTTCTGATAATAAATGAATGCTTTATGTTCATCATTTTTAACCCATTTGCTATAACGATAACAAGTTGCAAGAATGAATAGAACCATAGGATCTAATTGATTATCTAAGCAATATTTAATAATATTATCTGGATTTTGCTTTTTTTTTGCAAGAAATTGTTCTAAGGAGTCAACCGCTAAATAAAAACTTCTGCCTTTCAAAATTTCCTGATTATACAAATCATACATTTCTTTAATAATTTCATTAAGATCCTGTGGTTTATCTTCTAAATTCAGTTGAATAATTTCGTTAGTAACATCTAATAGGTTGTCGATTTTTTCTGGCTGTTTTTCATTTGACATTTTGAAGTAACGAAAGAATATGTTGAAATACATAAACTTGTTATATTTATTGAGGATACGTATTAGATATGTTGCGTAACGTTCACTTATGTCAATTACATTCGTGTATCACATACGTATTGTAACACCTTTTAACAAATTTGGTTACTAACTAAAAACTTCTAAATAGATTTAATAATCCAATTCTTCCTTTTTCTTATAACTTTTCCATGTCAATTTCTCCATGGCTTCCTGCAAAATTATGTCTAGTCAATACATAATTCACCTTTCTTGTCTTAATAAAATCATTACTTGTATATTCGAACAACTGAATATTACTTACAGAAAGTAATTTATATAGTAAATGTTTATTTTGAATGAATTTGTCAAAATTTCGTTTCATTAGCAATTTTGCCGCTTGATTGCTTTGATGATTTCCAATATTTACGCTTGAAATTTTTATTGTTTCTAGCAATTACTTTGTAAAAAAACATTAAAATATCTAGATCTAGTGCAAATTTTTATATAGTAATTTCTTACTAGTTCTAAACAATATTTAAGTGAGGTTTTTTGACGAAATATAAAAAAAAAATTATTAATCTAGTGAATTATTTATTAGCACTAGTAAGAAGCTAGATTTATGATTTACGATCTATAATATTAATAAGATAGTTGCAATTGTCTATTTATGGCATTATGACCAGGTACAATTTCCAGACTGTAATATTATAAGAATATTCTTATTTATACAATCATTAAATTTGAATGTAAAAGAACGTTTATGCTTACTAATTAAGTGACAAAATGGTAAACATTATGAATTTAATAGCTTATTAAGTGCTTAAATTATAAATATTATTTTTCTTATGTATTAAATTAACACAAATAAAGTACTCTTAAAATTTGATGACTTATTTTAAATGCATATATTAACAAATTTCAATTTCTTATTTTATATGCTTTAATTGATATATGTTCTTTATGTCACATACTAGATCAATACAAATAAAATAAAATAAAAATACTCAAAACTTAACGGTTTATTTTAGGCATCGCTACTAAATTAATTCGAGCAAACGAAATTAAATAACAGATTTTCATTAAGTATAATAGTCCACTCAAAAACTTAGATTTATAAACCTTTTTTATATCTCAAATTAATGAAATTAAGTAGTAAGTATTCATGAATTTAATAATGGATTAATAATTCGACTAACTTATGAGAAACGAAGTGATATTTTAAATCTGCAATGCAATTACATAACCGTGCATATATTTGCAGCATGAGATGTGTGTCAGGTTTGTGGCATAAAAAAATTTATTGCACGTCTTGAATGTATGCTGGGTTTATGGCTGGGGTTGACCAAAAGGCATAACTATCTCAGTATCGCCAGCAAAATTACTATTGTTAGAGGTAAAATTGTAATACTACAAAACCTGAAAAGTGATCGACCTATTTACCTAATTGGTAGTGCCCATAATGATCCACTTGAAACATATGTGCCGCTCCAAGTAAGCCATATGATCATACACAAGCCTCAGTATGGGACTTCACCATTTACTCAATTTAAAAAAACTTAATCAAGACTTATCTGTTCACATCATAAGAGCTGGGAATGGATGTTAACTCCATTTTACTCTTTTTGGATATGAGTGAGATAGGGGCCTGCAAATTGCCTATTTTTGAGGCCTGGCCCGGCCCGCAATTAGGGTTAAAAATTTTTTTTAGGCCTGGC